ATTAGGCATCATTTCATTAGAGATCATGTTCTCAAAGGTGATGTCGAAATTGAGTTTGTTGAAACACACAACCAATTAGCCGACATTTTCACAAAACCTTTAGAGAAAGAGTCGTTCTTCCGCATTCGAAGTGAACTCGGAATCCTTGACTCCACGATGATCTAAGTTTTGAATCTAAATTTATTAAACATTTACTAACTTGAGCGTTGGAGAACTTTTTCTTTTTTGCAGGTACCCCGCTCATGAAATCAGGGGGAACCATGCAAACAGCGCTGTCCAGGAGACACAACAGCGCTGTTGAGGGAAACACCGCCAACCAGAAAGTTTTCCAACAGCGCTGTCCATCAAGCCAACAGCGCTGTCCCAGGGAGTCCCTTACATCTTCACTTTCCAGAAACTCTTTGAACATCGATGTTCTCTTTTAAACATCGCTGTCTTCCCAAAACTTTTTGTTTTCAACCAAAACCAGAAACTTTTTAAACAACGATGTCTTACCTACAACATCGATGTCCACTTTTACAAATTTTTTTTCCTCTATCGCAAAACAGCGATGTAGAAAAGCCCAACAGCGCTGTTCAGATGGGTTCAAACCCTTACACAATTCCAGAAACTTTTGGAACATCGCTGTAGGGTACTCAACATCGCTGTCCTTTTGACTCTTTTTTAAACTTGACGCAGAACAGCGCTGTACTAGGCACAACAGCGCTGTTCCAACAGCGATGTCGCCTATGGAACATCGCTGTTCTGGTCAAGATTTTCAAAAAAAATATCCGTTGCACCCTCATTTATTGCTCCAACAGTCATATTTTTTGAAAATCAGGACGTTGGAGACCACCTTTTCTATAAATTGGGACCCCCTCTCTTCACTTTTACACACACAAACACAAATTCGTTCAATCTCCTTGCATACTTTATCCTCTCTAACATTTTTTTGGAGATTTCTTCATCACCATGGGCAAAGACAAGAGCAGGGCTGCTACCTCCGGGAAATCGAAGTCTAAATCCCGGGCACCGTCCACAACCTCCGAAGAACGCCTCTACTACGGCGATGGGTCGTACCTCTGGTTCGATTCCGAGGAGGAGCGCACCCGATTTCTCACCTTTTTCTCTAAACGGGTTGTGGCTCCCCCACGGATCATCCCGGAGCGCTACCCGGAGTTGGAGGGCTACGACGACCTCGACGCGCAGCTTCATCAAGCAGGCCTTTGGCCGTTCGTCTCCCGGGCACGCAAGGAGATCAACCCGGCACTGATCCGGGCCTTCTACTCCAACCTCCGGCGTGAGGACGACGTGCTCTACTCGCTCGTCAAGAGCACGCCGATCGAGCTCACCGTGGAGCAGCTTGGGCGCATCGCCGGCCTCCCCTTCCAAGGCGATAATGTGTCTCACTATGGTGGAGAGGATTGGGTGCTCAACAACGAGGGCCTTATCCTCAACGAGCTTGGCATCATCGAGCTCAAACGCCATGCCTCGGGCCGCCCAACCATCCACTCCGCCAACCCCAAAGGCCGCCTCGTCCTCTACATCGTCTCCCGGATCATCAAACCGAGGAAGCACGGCCACACCATCATGCACGGTGAAGACCTCAAGCTCATCCATGCGATCATGCATTCGGCCCCAATCAATTGGGCAAAGTTTGTCATGATCAACATGACGATTGCCGCGTCCACCGACCACGATCACCTTCTCCCGTACCCGTTTTTGGTGATGGACATCCTTGAACGGTTCAAGGTAACCACCACCGTTGGCCCGCTCACGAAGGCCACGAAGATTTGGATAATCAGCAACCAAACCTTCCTCAAGCGGCGGACAACGCCGCAGCTGCCACTGCCGCGCCACGCCGCACTGCCTCTGCCGCTGGCCCAGCCGAATCCCAGGCCCGAGCCAACCTTGCCTCCATCGCCGACTCCCTCAACCGGCTCCACCTCAAGGTTGACGGGATGGGGAGCTATCTTGAACGGCTCGACGTGGCTGTTCAACGCCAAGGATACGCGATGAACTCGTACTTCCAAGGCATCAACTACGTCCCCCCACCGTACCACGGCATGTTCTTTGGGCAAGTGTACGGTGACAAAGACGAAGCCGATGACTCCTACGCCCCGTCAAGCTCCCCGGAGGAAGACAAGTTCGACGATGCCATCGATGGGGATGAGATGGACGTCGACGACGACGAGAAGGAAACCGAAGACGAAGACTAGGACTCCCCTAGAATTTCTATCTCTTTTACTTTAATGCTTCCGTTGTACTCCGTTATTTCCCTTTATTAAATAAAATCAATTTCATTTATCTTTTTGTTAATGTCAAAAGGGGGAAGAAAAGGAAAAGGGCTATGCATATACTAAGGGGGAACATCTCTCTAAACGAGACCGTTTGATTTTAATCCAACTAAATTTTTTTAAGCACAAATTAAGGGGGAACTTTCTTTTTTTTTCACAACTTTTGAAAAACAAATATCCCTTAGTATGCATATCCCCGTCTTGTTTGCCATTATCAAAAAGGGGGAAATTGTTGGAACACGGGTTTACGCCTACGTCGTACTAAACTGTGTTCGGTTGTTATGACAGGTTTTGATAATGCCAAACCGCCGCGACACATCGAAGCTAAAGTGAGAAAAACTAAGGCGAAGGAACATGGCATGATGACTTGAGAACCAAGAACCCAGAATCAAGAACGAAGAACTAGAATTGTATTGAGTCGGTCTTAATGTGATTAAGACTGGCACAAAATTCCAAATCTTGGCTCTCTAGGCTCAATTCATAAAATATCTTTTACATATCGGCTAACGGCGTGACTAAACCAACCATGGGTCTGGCTAAACCAAGCCCAACAGCGATGTTGAGGTAATCAAAAGCGCTGTCTGGCCTGGGTAGCCAAAAACATGGTTTGGCGTTAAGTCTTCCAACAGCGATGTTGGAATTAAGACATCGCTGTTGAGCCAAGGTTGGATTTCCAGAAACTTCTGGAACAGCGATGTAGGCTCCCCTACAGCGCTGTCCAACCTAAGCCAAAAATATAGTGCATTGGCAGAAAGTTTTTGGACAGCGATGTTGACCCAGCAACAGCGCTGTCAGGCCAAACTTCCACCTTCAAAAGTCAGACCTAAACAGCGATGTTCAAGTAATAGACATCGATGTAGGGACCTGACCGTTGGAAGGAACTTAAGGCTAAAACTTTCCTTGTTTGGAAGTCAACAGCCAAAACAGCGATGTAGGGGTTTTTGGACATTGCTGTTGGCATGACCGTTGCTTCCCAATTTTTAAAATCAAGCCTAGAACAGCGATGTCCAGGCCTAGGACAGCGCTGTCTAGGTGAATTTCAGCAGATCCAATTTTAATCAAATCCCACAAATTGTGCCAATCACCCCTTAAATGTTTTGGTCCGTTGGAGCCTATTTTTCCACTATAAAATGGGGTGTTTGGGTCTGT